CCTAACAAATATGGCTGTATGAAATTGTGTGTGCTACAATGGTGCCACCACCTCTTCACTTCCCTTTGCAATCTGCATTGCTTTCCACCCACTATGAAGACTGCAGTGCTATCTTCTGTCTGTTCGCTTCCAGAGTCCTCCCTTTCCCCTCCCAGAGTCCATCCCTCTACGGTGCCTGCTGTGGGGAGCAAATGCATCAGACCTTCCCTTCTGTCTTGGCAGATGAAGCTGTTGGTCCTGTCTGTGCTGGTCCTCTTTGCCTCCGTCCACTGTGAGGAGGGGGCCAGGCTCCTGGCCTCCAAGGCTCTGCTGAACAGATACGCTGTGGAAGGCCGGGACCTCACTTTGCAGTACAACATCTACAACGTGGGTTCCAGGTAAATCCTGGGAAGGTGATAAGGGAGGGCTGGTGTTAAGAGCTGTTATAGGGCTTCAAGGCCCAGGTGAATGCCCACTGTCCGGGAAAGACCATTACAGCGGTTGAGTGGAAGGATGTGGTGCACACTTCTCGTCTTCTTCCCCAAGGCCATCCTGGTGCAGTCTTATAGGACAATCCAGTATGAAATTTATCTGCATTCATTTGGATGGGAAACAACATTAGGCCATGGAGGGGGGTGGGTGGCTTCTGGAGGTACGAGTGATTCCTTCTGAATCCTGTTCTTGACACCGAAGTGGGCATTCTGAGTGTGCAACCAGAAATTCAGGGTGAACAGCTCTCTAGTATATTCTTTGCTCTAGGTTTTGTCTCCTCTCCAGATCATAGCTTGTTCCTGATACATTTCCCCACCTCCCTGATCTGTTTTATCTGCAGTGCAGCCTTAGAAGTGGAGCTGTCGGATGATTCGTTTCCTCCAGAAGACTTTGGGATTGTCTCCGGCATGCTCAATGTCAAATGGGACAGGATTGCACCGTATCTTTTTTGTGCAGAGAGGCTCTTGGCTGGATGACTCTTCTTAGAATGCTGAACGTCCCAGCTATGTTTCTAGTCCTCATGGCTGTAGAGAGATGGGCTATATTGTTTT